TGAGACACTTATGCAGCATATGGGAATCTTTATTCAGGAAACGTTTCGCCACACAGTGGCTTCTTCAGTCCAATACAAAGAGGAAGGCATAAGGAGAGGAGAATGAGGTAATCAGTCCCTCAACCTGGAGTCGATGTGTTCAGTCCATCAATCTTGTAGAATGTTACGGGTGCTGCCTCTGCCTGTCTCGGGTGCTGCCTCTGTCCGTTTCGGGTGCTGCCTCTGCCCGTTACGGGTGCTGCCTCTGCCTGTCTCGGGTGCTGCCTTTGCTGTTTCGGGTGCTGCCTCAAGAATGAAAGAAGCTGATTGCAATCTTTATGAGGAATTCTTCCTGACGTGACCTTTGTATATATAGAAAAACAACAACAAACTGCTTATCGCAAGATCAAAATACACCAGCAACAACAGAAATGCTAACACGAATAAAATACAAATATATAAATAATGCAAATAAAATAAGGCCGATTATAGAGATATACGAAGTAAATAACCACAAGATATACAAGTGCCAAGGCAGTGCCAAAGGATCACTCGAGGAATCACCTGCATTCAGGAAAAACCGTGAAATACAAATATTTCTTTTTTTTTTTGTTAAGTCATATTAAAGATCAGATTTACATAGAATAACATTAATGTTCCTAATTTAAGACTCTGTACGGTTATATTCTCTGTTCTCCTTCCGTCTGAGGCGAATTCAAGTAACCCAGAGTTACTAGTTTCGTGGTGCGATCTGACTGGCGCTTGTGGCCACTCAGGATTATTAAACCTCCCATGGCCTCAGTCCACTACACTAAACGATGATGGCCGATACTCGTCCCTCCGTTTTCGTGAATGAAATCACGCGAAGCTGCACTCGCAGCACAAAACAGGTAATGAAGACAGTGCAAGAAACCCCTCTCGCGTGCCCTAAGTACACTATGGAGGAGGAGCTTGGACATGGGTGAAATTCCAGTCACTTAAAACGACGGATATAGCCCCACTCCATAAAGGTGGCAGCAAAGCATTAGCTAAGAACTATAGACCAATAGCTCTGACGTCCCACATCATAAAAATCTTTGAAAGAGTGCTAAGAAGCAGGATTGCAAATTACCTGGATTCCCAAAATCTGCACAATCCAGGGCAACATGGGTTCAGGGCAGGTCGCTCCTGCCTCTCACAACTACTGGATCACTATGACATGGCCTTGGATGCACTGGAAGAAAATCAGAATGCAGATGTAATATACACAGACTTTGCAAAAGCATTTGACAAATGCGATCATGGCGTAATATCCCATAAAATACGTGCTAAAGGAATAACTAGGAAAGTGGGGAGATGGATCTTCAACTTCCTAACAAATCGAACACAGAGAGTAGTGGTCAACAGAGTTAAATCGGAGGCTGCCATAGTGAAGAGCTCTGTTCCACAAGGCACAGTACTCGCCCCCATCTTATTCCTCATCCTCATATCAGACATAGACAGAGATATATATCACAGCACCGTATCATCCTTTGCGGATGATACTAGGATCTGCATGAGGCTGTCATCTGCTGAGGACGCGGTTAACCTCCAAGAAGATATAAACTAAGTTTTCCAGTGGGCAACGGTAAACAATATGATGTTCAATGAGGACAAATTCCAACTACTCCGTTATGGAAAACTGGAGGAGATAATAACTAGAACAGAGTATACTACAGACTTTGGCCATACAATAGAGCGGAAAAATAATGTAAGGGACTGGGAGTAGTAATGTCTGAGGATCTCACTTTCAAGGATCACAACAGTGCCACGATCGCACGTGCAAAGAAAATGATAGGATGGATAATGAGAACGTTCAAAACGAGAGATGCCAAGCCAATGATGATCCTTTTCAAATCACTTGTTCTCTCTAGGCTGGAATACTGCTGTACATTAACATCTCCATTCAAAGCAGGTGAAATCGCAGATCTAGAGAGTGTACAGAGATCCTTTACTGCACATATAAGTTCTGTCAAGCACCTTAACTACTGGGAACGCTTGGAAGCACTTGACTTGTACTCGTTGGAACGCAGGAGGGAGAGATATATCATAATCTACACTTAGAAAATCCTGGAAGGAATGGTCCCAAATCTGCACACAGAAATCACTCCCTACGAAAGTAAAAGACTGGGCAGGCGATGCAAAATGCCCCCAATAAAAAGTAGGGGCGCCATTGGTACACTAAGGGAAAACACCATGAGTGTCCGGGGCCCAAGACTGTTCAACAGCCTCCCATCAAGCATTAGGGGAATTGTCAATAAACCTCTGGCTGCCTTCAAGAGAGAGCTGGACAGATACCTAAAGTCAGTGCCGGATCAGCCGGGCTGTGGCTCGTACGTTGGACTGCGTGCGGCCAGCAGTAACAGCCTAGTTGATCAGGCACTGATCCATCGGGAGGCCTGGTCATGGACCGGGCCGCAGGGGCGTTGATCCCCGGAATAACCTCCAGGTAACCAGGTAACCCATCGTTGAATATCAACCAAATGCGTCGGTCAATCACCAATGACCAAGTGAAGCGTAAACAAAGGGGCAACGAAGAAGAGATTCAAGGTCGAGGGAACTAAACAGGTAGGGGTGTGTCCGGACGTCCTAAAGTTGGCAAGACTCCTTTCCTGAGTGACCATAAAGCATGAGTGGGAGCCAAGATGGGAGGAGGACAGAATGAAAGAGTGGGAAATGATGGCAATGAAAAGAGCTGAGAGAGAGAGAGAGAGAGAGAGAGAGAGGAGAGAGAGAGAGAGAGAGAGATTGCTTTATATTTTCTTCCTACTTTCTACAATACAATGACTGATCTCCTACAAGCACATCTTTACAAGGTTTATCAATGCTACAAGCCAACGAGCTAGTTGTCTTGACAGTATGTTCCGTAGCTACAGCATATCCCGCAGCCACAGCATATTCTGCAGCCACAGCATATTCTGCAGCTACAGCATGTCCTGCAGCTACAGCATGTCCTGCAAACACAGCATATTCTTCAGCCAAAGCATATCCTGCAGTCACAGTATATCTTGCAGCCACAGCATATTCTTCAACGACAGGATATCCAGCAGCCACAGCATATTCTTCAGCCACAGCATATCCTGCAGCCACAGTATATTCTTCAGCCACAGCATATCCTGCAGCCACAGCATATCCTGCAGCCACAGTATATCCTGCAGGCACAGCATGTCCTGTTGCTAAAGCATGTTTCAACCTGGCGTCACTAGAGTCACGCCTGGCTACACAAAGGACTCTCGCTGTCTCCTTCAACCACGCCTTAACACAGTCTCCATCTCAGTCACAAAGGGTCACATCCTGCTACTGTTACCAGAAAGATCCACGAGATGGAAAAACGCCCCCTCCGCTTAGTTCAGCTCTTCCCTCCTCTTCCACTTCATCTTCATTACACCTCCTTCCTCTTCTTCCCCTCACCTTCTTCATTCGCATATCTTTTTTCGTAGTCCATCCTTGTATCGCCCCTCCACTCGTCCTCTATCTCTGCAGATGTAACTCCCTTCAAACGTAGGGAACTGCGGGATGTGAAGGCCAACACTCTTGGCCTTCCTTCCCAGGGTGGCCATGATCCAAAGAGTGGAGCTGCCTGTCCCTTCCTTGGATCAAACCCTGTTGCCATCCATTATCCTCAGGCGCTGCATGATGAAGATAAAGAATAAGCAATGGATGATGATATCATTCAGCTTAAGCCGGAGGGCTAATAACCCAGGATAACTCAATAAAGCCACTGTAAACCATACCCGCGGATTGAACCGCGGTCAAGAGTCTCAAAACTCCAGCCCGTCGCGCTAGCCACTAGACCAGCCACTGTGTATGATTTATTTCCATTGAAACCGAGAACCCCAATGGTAGTAAATCACTTCGTCCGACTTTTTGGGGTTATCCTGATGCTTATGTGTACCTGTGCCTAAATAAACTTACAAGAATAAATTACAAGAACAAACTTACAAGAATAAACCCGTACCGGTCATTCAGTATAAGGACAGTAGTGACAGTGATAAGCAGCCAGCCAGGCTGCTTATCAGGTATAAGGAAGAGGATAAGATTAGATTTTGTTCGGATTTTTAACTCCGAAGGGTTAGCCACCCAGGATAACCCAAGAAAGGCAGTGCGTAATCAAGGACTGTCTTATTTCCATTGGGGTCCTTCAATCTTGTCCTCCAGGATGCAACCTACACCAGTCGACTAACACCCAGGTATATACTTGCTAGGTGAACAGGACAACAGGTGTAAGGAAACGTGTCCTATGCCGGGAATCGAACCCAGATGGGCTCGATACGGTGTATGCTGTCAGTGGCCCTGAAACCCAACAGAAGAAGAAGAATAATCGAACCCAGACCCTCAGCTTGTGAAGCGAGAGCTTTGACAGTCAGGTCACGGAGCCTGAACAGAAGAAAATAATTAGAAACCCCAGGGAAAATCAAGGACACCTGTAACGGGAGAAAGAGATAGTGTGTGTCTGCGTCCTTTGTAATCCTTATGAATGTATTAAACTTGCAAAAAATCAGTCCCTCCTTAAAATCCTTAGCAGGAGGCGGCAGCAAAGAATTAAAACAGAGTACCTTAAAATTCTCATTTTCTGTTACTAAACTTTTGACTCGTTCTCTTTCATTGTGTTCTGGGTAACTATAAGAATAATGCGAATCTCATTTTGAGAACAGTCTCGATTTTTAATAGACAGTACAAAAACACTTAAGAACAATTTACATTTTACAAGCCTCAACACATGTACTTGAGTATTTGTTAGCCATTTTTAGTTATCATAAATACTGTGGTAATGTCAAAAATGGTATACGTAATGGACTTCATTTTGAAGCACTATCTAAAATACTTTTTATACTGTGGTTCTAATGATCATTTAACTTTACTTTTTACGGGTTAGTCTTGGCTACGGAGCATATACAATGAGAGGTATGTTCAAGTGCGTATATACACTGTTATACACCGATATTTCGATAACTAATTTACTTTGGACTCAACCCTTACCTGTTAAAATTAAATCACATTGTTTGACTTGACTGGTTAAAATAGGTGATCCTTCCCTATGTGTAAGTCAGTTTATTCAGGTACACGTACACATAGTTACATAAATTATCATACATAGCAAAGTGACTTTTTTTCATTGAGGTCCATTTGTGCAAATATTCCTTTTCTTTTGGTGAGTTAATATTCGGTTTGATGATGGAAGCAATCTCTTCAAAGAGGGGTGCCTTGATGACGGGCACTTGATCCTAGAAAACGGGCTGGTCCTCCACTTCCTTGGATCGATCCTGATTGCCTTCTATTCTCCTAGGCCTTTTATGACCCCTCAGATGGTTTCCTCAGCATGTAGAGCCTTTCTTTCTTACCCTGTTTCTGAACATTCTGCCCTCCAACCGCCAATAAGAAAAAGATTCATGATCACTTACCTGTCTGAAGCATCTCATATTTCTGGAGCAGAGTCTTGCAAGACGAGTCTGTGAGGTGCAAAGAGCAGCTGAGAGTCTCTGCTGCTGCAGAGGGTCAGCCACAAGCTCCAGCTGCTGGGACAGGCTGTCGAAAGTCTGCTGCTCCACAGCCATTGCATCTTGCAGTGTCTGCACCAGCTCCACCAATCCCTGCGCCAACAGACACTGGTGTTAATACTGATGGAAGAAGCGCTAAACCATTAAAGGTGACAGCACATGAAGAATGGAATTACATGAAAGAACACATATAAGTATAAATAAATCGCATCAAACATACCTAGAAATAATTTTACATAAAATTATTATTATTATTATTATTATTATTATTTCCATTAAAGCTATGTGCTAAACCCACAAGAGTCATACAGTACATAAAGCTATTGTTACCACCTATACCTACATGCAATTTGACCTATATTCCCTTTCCTTGGATCGAACCTGCTTGTCTTATATTTCCCTTCACCTGACACTTCGTCACCCCAGCAGGTTTAGCGTTTCTTCAAGAATTGAATAATACCGCCACCAATCAAGAGAGGCGCCTGACCCCTGGCAGGACGCGAGAGGAGGAAGACTCTCGAAGCAGACCATTATTAAGACAACTGACATACCTGAGACACATTCACAAACTTAATAGAGGTGCTAAGATTACCCATTATTTTTCCTTGGTATGTTGTAAGATACGTTTTTTCACGCACCTTTAATAGGCAGTTAATGTAAGTGGTAAGTTATCCTTGGCTACATTCAAGAGGGAGATGGACAGATATCTAAGGCCAGTACCCGATCAGCTGGACTGTGGTTCGTACGTCGGATTACGTGTGACCAGCAGTAACAGCCTGGTTGTTTAGCCTCTGATCTACCGGGAGGTTTGGTCAAAGACCGGGCCGCGGGGGCGTTGACCCCCGGAGCACCCTTCGGGTATACTCCAGGTAGTACATGATTGATCTGCATTCTTAATGACTCCTTGTGTAATAGATAAAATTTAAACCCAAAAAACAAACTAAACTAAGAAAAGTAATGAAGAGTGAATGAGGTAATTATGGAAGGAAATTAGTGATGTAGGAAGACATTTCAGGAAAGAAAGAGGAAGAGTGGTGGAGGAAAGAGCACAGAGGTAGGTGTAGTGTGTGTAGGTGTGTGTGTGTGTGTGTGTGTGTGTGTGTGTGTGTGTGTGTGTGTGTGTGTGTGTGTGTTTGGTTCCAGGGATTAAGTTTCACCACACTAGCCACACCACAGCCACACCTCAACCATACCACAGCCACATCACATAACACAGGTACAAACTCAAACTCAGGGTCTACCAGCCTTCCATTACAACCTGCTCCTCAGATTGATTCATTCATAACTACGTAGTAACGAGTATAAGATGCATATCAGGCTTAGTTAGCCCTTCTAAGGAAGGAGGGAGCCTCCAGGCTGGTAAAGAATGGTCGTGATCCAAGGATCTAGAGCTATCCCTTTCCTTCCTCTGAAAAACACGATTTCCTCCCACTCCCTGTGAATAATAATAATAATAATAATAATAATAATAATAATAATAATAATATAATAATATTATAATAATATTATTATTATTTCTTAATATTAACAAATAATAATAATAGTAATAATTTTAAATATATTTTTTTAGATTATTATTAAGTCAACACCACTTGAAAAAATAAGACTCACTGCAGATCAAGGCTCTATTGTGTAAACGTTTCGCTCTGTGTAGAACTTTATATAGTTCTACAAAGAGCAAAACGTTGTCCCAACGTGTCATTTCGTCACTTTTCTACACTTTATGCCGCATGGAGGCATATAAATGCAAATTTTATTTAGGTGTGACTTGATAATTGTCCTAAACGTCTACAGTTCCGACTCTAAAATTATGGGATTTGTTGTGAATTGTTCCAGCCACGATATTATTATATTATTATTATTATTATTATTATTATTATTATTATTATTATTATTATTATTATCTATTTATTCCCAATTTCGACAAGCGCCTGGCAGGCAGGCAGCAGACTGAGCAGACAAGACAGACAGACAACAACCCACAGACCAGACAAACAGACCAGACAAACACCCAGCCAGACAAACACCCAGCCAGACAAACAGCCAGACAAACACCCAGCCAGACAAACACCCAGCCAGACAAACAGCCAGACAGACAGCCAGGCAGCTCGCTGGTCTGTTGTTGCCGAGGCAGATGAACCATTTATATGCGCAGGCTAAACACAAGGGGATGTTAATGTATGTCTCATTTCTTTATGCGCGAGATGTTATGACTTGATAATGTATCCTACTGCTGGCCAACGCCTCGTACTGGTACCAGAATGAATATATTTGTGCCTAGAGAGAGAGAGAGAGAGAGAGAGAGAGAGAGAGAGAGAGAGAGAGAGATAAAGAAAGAGGAGAGAGAGAGACTGGTTTCACTGTTGGAAATCATCTGTAAAGTTTCTTATAAAAAATGTATGGAGAATTATTCATATAGTTTTTGTCCGGCAGTAATGGAGACAGTGTTAGTGCATGAGACAAATGCAGAGAACATGGCGGCTAAAAGAGAAGAGAATTCAGAATGTAATACATCCAAAGTGTTAATGTAAGAACAATAACAGTACGAACACGAGTCTGTCTCTAGCATTATATATTATTAACGTAGGGGATTATTTTATGTTAGGTAAAATGATACAAGTGCAACTAATGTGACATTTTATTGTGGCGACGTTTCGCTCTCCAAGAGCTTGACCAAGCCTATTATTTTCTGGTTGTGATCGTCTTTGTCTCGTCTGTCTGTCTGTCTGTCTGTCTGTCTGTCTCTCTCTCTCTCTCTCTCTCTCTCTCTCTCTCTCTCTCTCTCTCTCTCTCTCCTGCGTATTCACCCATCTAAAAAACAGTGTTCTCTTGTACAGCGTAATAACAGAGAAAATTCTACAGACTTTTACCAAAATTGTACAGCCACGTACAGGGTCCCGGTGTTACACCTGTGATCGATACCGAGGGTTTTACCACCCTACCAGCCAAGCCTGTGGGTGTTGCTGTTAACGCCATGCTAGCTCGCAAGGTATCACTGCTTGATTGATCCAGCACTTAGCGAAGGTAGTGAGGCAGTTTAACTTGGTGACTTCTGTACTTGTTCCCAAGAAATGTCTAGTACTCTTCGGGTCACGGATGTTGGTACATGAATCACGTACATAAATATATTCATGGAATTTGTAGGATTGTGAAATGAAAACAAATTGCGTCGACAATGGTGATATAAGGGGAAATAATAGAGGTAATAGTAAAATAATGGTGCTTTTAAATAATAAGGAATGACATTACATTTCTATCTCAACTTTTATTACAACTAATCTAAATGGTTATAACTGACCATAATTTTTAAAGGGGTGAACCTGTAAGCCAGCGGAAGGCCTCTATCAGATGACCGAAAGCTCCAATGGCGGGTCATCATCTAAGACCCGCGTCAGGAGACACTTGTGCTGTTTACTGACGAACCTTACCTAACCTACAACAACTAATAATAATAATTCATTTAGGTATGGGTCTGTGTTGTCTGTCTCTCCCCTTTCCAGCCACTCCACTCCAGCTGTGCTGGAAGGAAACCTCTGTGCTGGAAGGAAACCTTTGAAGCTCCCGTAGCTTGTGAACCCCAGCTGAAATGCTTGACGATACCTTCATTACCCCACCGAAGTCTCCTAGCTCAGGTTAACAGATTTCAACACCTTGTACGAGCCCCATCCTGCTTGATGGAATATTACATGGGAAACATAACTGGCTTTTGTTCCTAATGTGTATTATCATATAGAATACGGTAGGGTATATAAATCTCGCTCTCCCACAATTCTTTCTCACTCTGCGATTTACCACCTTTCTCACCCCAACTTTCCACACGTGAGTACAACTTTTACTTTCACTTGACCCTTTACCACTGCTCAGGCTACTTTATTTCTGAAACTTTTCTCTCAGAATAGAGGAGAAAGATTTTATTGAACGTCTCTTTAATTGTATGTTGGGTGGTATTGTTGCTCGCTTGTTTTGTCTGGCTTGGTTTTTGTTTGTTTGCTTTCTTTGATTCCTTGCTTGCTGCGCACGGAAACCCGACCCCAGCTTACCTCGGTGCACTGTAGCGCTGATTGACTAGCAGGAAACCCCAAGTGTCAGTGATGGTTTAATACCTACAGGTCCCCACTCTCTCTCTCTCTCTCTCTCTCTCTCTCTCTCTCTCCTCTCTCTCTCTCTCTCTCTCTCTCTCGAGTGGCTTGTATGAGTATGCACATAACGTGTTATAACTATTTTTGTAATTGCAAATTTAAATCGTATTTGTAATTCCCTACTTATTACTGGGAACGTTTAACGTTCCTTGACATGTACTTCTTGGGGCGCAGGCGAGAAAAGTACATCATAATCTACACCTGGAAAATCCTAGAGGAACTGGACCCAAACCTGCACACAGAAATCACTCCCTATGAAATAAAGACTTGACAGACGATGCAGCATCCCACCAATGAAATGCAACGGTGCAGTAAGTACACAGAGAAAACACGATAAGTATCAGAGGACCAAGACTATTCAACAGCCTCCCATCATACACTAAGTGCTCCTCTGAGAACTTCGTTTTATCCTGGATTCTACTAAACAGATTTGATCTAAAGTTTTTGTCTCCTGAAACTTATTGTTCTTTTTTTTCCACTCTTCCTGTTCTTTTTTCCCTACTTTCCTTATCTCATTTTTTCCATCTCTTCCTATTCGATTCTAAATTTCCAGAAGGCGAAAAATTATTAGCATATTCACCTCTCACGTAGGATTTTTGTACATCCCTATGTTCTTACATTACTGTCCACAGGATATGGGATGCGCAGTAAACTAGAAATTGACACGGCTAATTTCATCCGAATCTTCATCTCGCTATTTGTCTCCCCAAACAGTCCTGAAGTCATCACAAATTCTATTAACTTTCGTACAATATTGTGTTGAAGCTGGTGTCTTGTTCATGCGTCTCTGAAGGCTCTTTTCTCTCTCTCTCTCTCTCTCTCTCTCCTGTTCTTGGTCACTTCCACCACCCCCCTTCATCACTTAATTTGTCTTTGTTTCGTTTCTCTTGTTGTTCACATCTGCATTTCCTTCCATCCTGTTACCTCTTCTTTCTTCCCTTACTCTCTAAGTAAGAATCTGGCAGTACTCTACTGAAGTTGATTTGCCATACCGTGTGCAACACTTGGGGTATCTTTATTGCAGATAAAATTACACAACAGCTGTACAAGTATTTTATATACGAAGTGCCTGTCCTACTGTCACTATCTTCCCAGGTGTGGTGCCCTCTCTCAGGTGTGGTGCCCTCTCTCAGGTGTAGTGCCCTCTCTCAGGTTAGGTTAGGTAAGGATTGTCAGGAAACAGGACAAGTGTTTCCTGACGCGTCAAATGATGACCCACAGCTCAGGTTATCATTACAGTGGTTAAATAGTCCCATATACCTCCTTCCCTCACTAGTCACTTCTACGCCTCACGTTCTGCTATCTCCCCTCCTTATCTTACTATACTCTGCATACGCTAGCTTCCACAGACTGTTCTCTTTCAACAGACGATCATACAGCTGTTGGTGAGGAAGGTTGCGCGTGTCTAGCGATTACCAATCGGAGGACAACAAGCCTTTGCCACTCCTTGTACTGGAAGACCCACAAAGTTTTATTGCTTCTTGATAGGAATACGTGAGGCATTCTCCATCTTATGTGGATGAACTCTGTGTGTGCGTGTGTGTATGTAGTCACTCACCTATTTGTGGTTGCCGGGGTCGATTCTTAGCTCCTGGCCCCGCCTCTTCACCGGTTGCTACTGGGCCCTCTCTCTCACCGCTCCATGAGCTTTATCAAACCTCGTCTTAAAACTGTGTATGGTTCCTGCCTCCACGTCATTTTCTAAGCTATTCCACTGCCTGACAACTCTATGACTGAAGAAATACTTCCTAATATCTCTCTGACTCATCTGTGTCTTCAACTTCCAATTGTGGCCTCTTGTTTCTGTGTCCCCTCCCTGGAACATCCTGTCTTTGTCCACCTTGTCTATTCCACGCAGTATTTTATATGTCGTTATCATGTCTCCCCTGACCCCCCTATCCTCCAGTGTCGTCAGGCCGATTTCCCTTAATCTTTCTTCATAGGACATTCCCCTTAGCTCTGGAACTAACCTTGTCGCAAACCTTTGTACTTTCTCTAGTTTCTTGACGTGCTTTATCAAGTGCGGGTTCCAAACAGGTGCTGCATACTCCAGTATGGGCCTGATATACACGGTGTACAGTGTCTTGAATGATTCCTTACTAAGGTATCGGAATGCTGTTCTGAGGTTTGCCAGGCGCCCATATGCTGCAGCAGTTATCTGCCGGAGACATGCTCGGTGTTATACTCACCCCAAGATCTTTCTCCTTGAGTGAGGTTTGCAGTCTTTGGCCACCTAGCCTATACTCTGTCTGTGGTCTTCTGTGCCCTTCCCCTATCTTCATGACTTTGCATTTGGCAGGATTAAATTCGAGAAGCCATTTGCTGGACCAGGTGTCCAGTCTGTCCAGGTCTCTTTGAAGTCCTGCCTGGTCCTCATCTGATTTAATTCTCCTCATTAACTTCACATCATCTGCAAACAGGGACACTTCTGAGTCTAACCCTTCCATCATGTCGTTCACATATACCAAAAATAGCACTGGTCCTAGGACCGACCCCTGTGGAACCCCGACTCGTCACAGGTGCCCACTGTGATACATCATTACGTACCATGACTCGTTGTTGCCTCCCTGTCAGGTATTCTCTGATCCATTGCAGTGCCCTTCCTGTTATATGCGCCTGATGCTCTAGCTTTTGCACTAATCTCCTGTGAGGAACTGTGTCAAAGGCCTTCTTGCAGTCCAAGAAGATGAAATCAACCCACCCCTCTCTCTCGTGTCTTACTTCTGTTATTTTATCATAAAACTCCAGAAGGTTTGTGACACAGGATTTGCCTTCCATGAATCCGTGCTGGTTGGCATTTATACTCTTGTTCCGTTCCAGGTGCTCCACCACTCTCCTCCTGATAATCTTCTCCATAACTATGCATACTATACACGTCAATGACACAGGTCTATAGTTTAGTGCCTCTTTTCTGTCTCCTTTTTTAAAAATGGGAACTACATTTGCCGTCTTCCATACCTCAGGTAGTTGCCCAGTTTCCAGGGTCGTGTTGAAGATTGTGGTAAGTGGCACGCACAACATATCTGCTCCCTCTCTAAGGACCCACGGGGAGATGTTGTCCGGTCCCATTGCCTTTGAGGTATCGATGTCCCTTAGCAGTTTCTTCACCTCCTCATCTGTATGTATGTCGTCCAACACTTGTTGGTGTATTCCTTGCTGGTGTCCCCATCTGGTCTGTCCCCCCAGAGGCCTTCCTGTCTCTACTGTAAATACTTCCTTAAATCTCGTGTTGAGCTCCTAGCATACCTCTTGATCGTTTCTTGTGAGTTCTCCACCTTCTTTCCTCAGCCTTATCACCTGGTCCTTGACTGTTGTCTTCCTCCTAATGTGGCTATACAACAGTTTCGGGTCAGATTTGACTATGTGTGTGTGTGTTTTGTGTGTGTGTGTGTGTGTGTGTGTGTGTGTGTGTGTGTGTGTGTGTTTAATTACTTCTTCGTAATTATCTGTGTTTACAGGTAGCAAGTAACCAAGAATATGGAGGAAGAGAAAGAGGAGGCGAAAGAGAAACAAGGAGAGGAGATGGGAGGAGAAAAGGAACCAAAATGCAAGTCAGGGACGAGAATGAAGAACAAGGAAACAGGTTAGAGGAGGAGGGAGATGAGCAAGTTGAGGAACAATAAAGCAGGTCAGAGAAAGAGCCCCCCCCCAAAAAAAAGTAAGATAACGAATGTGATAACCGAACTAAGGTGAAAGGGTGAAACAATAGAGTGGATGGAAGGAGCGAAGAAAATCAAGAGAGGGAGATAGGAAGATAACACAAGAAATAGAACAGTGGTGATAAGATAAAACAGACGAAGAACCTACACAATGGAATTACCTATCTACCCTCCCTCCCTCTCTCTCTCTCTCTCTCTCTCTCTCTCTCTCTCTCTCTCTCTCTCTGTCTGTCTCTCTCTCTCTTATTTTTAGAAGTTCCACAAACGTCTCATCGACCCTAGGTCCCTGGAGGGGTGAGAGCACATGCGCCAGGCCCTTCCTGTAATCAGGGTCATCCTGAAATAGTGACCCCCATCATTATGGCAGCTCCCTGACCCCTGGGTTTAGAGTCCCTCACTCCCCCCCTCCCCCATCCCATACCACTAATCATGCCCTCCAGCGAGTCCTTACGTAAGCGTTGCCTTACTGCAGTAGTCATTTTTTACCGAGCTGAATTAGTTCTCACATTAGAGTGAATAGGTCATTTTGAGGGAGTCTGTCAGAAGTTTGCTATTGCATCTGACCATTTACCCGCGATAGGCGTCTAACACCCGGGTACGTATGGCACATTACTGCCAGGTGAATTGTAGGCAACGGGTGAAAGGCGACTTGCCCACTCCTACCATCTTCAACAACCACCACTACCACCATCATTAGCACCAACAGCCCCGACTACTACCGCCATCAACAAATATCACTACCACCGCCATCAGCATCAACCACCACTACAACCGATATCAGCATCAACCAGCACTACCACCACCATCAACATCAACCACCACTACCAAGTACTCACCCGTATATCAAGCGCTGCTACAGCGTTGTCGAACTCCTGGTCTGGACACCACATGAGGTAGTCCCGACCCTCCGCCACCAGCTGTAGCGCCGACATGTTCTGAAACAAAAGACATTCTTATATTAATTATAGCATTTATCATCAACAGCCTAACTGATCAGAAACCTGACCTGACGCAGGATCGAGTCTTCACCACACCTTGTACGAACCCACGGGATTTAGCGCGTCATGAAATTAAAAAGAAAAAGGGTTTTAGATATGTTTATTGTATATCCAGAAGCACTGAACCCGTACAGGTCATTCAACACCAGTGGAGGCTCTATCTTCCGTCCGCTAATAGCGACTTGGTTTTCCAATAGAAACCAGAGGGAGACCAACGGTGCGAGGCCGACATGTGGTGGGGAGAATAAAATACACAGTTGCAGGGAAAAAGTTTACCGGATAGAGATCGCTAGTGGACAGATTTCTTCAGTCAAAACTGAGTACCAAAAAATAAAGTGACGCAAAATCTGAGAAGGTCACAGCTGCAAGTGGAGTACCTCAGGACTGTGTCCTGAACTTTCAAAGCTCTCAAACATCACCCCCACAGCTTCCAGACATCAAAGCCGCGCTGCTTCCTGAACGGTACAGTGATACAACTCGCTCGTAGCTTCGAAGCTTCACACCAAGGTCTCCATCCCCCAACCCCTCGTCTCCTATTACTCGCCAAACCACTTCGTTATCGCCGAGTCGCAATTAGTATTTTGGCTGCAGATGTAAATGTGTAGGTTTAAGGGCTCCTTGTGGGTCTGTGGAGGCACTTAAGCCATCTGAAACTCTCAGTTACGAGCTCGTGAAGTGCTTCACGAACCCTCGGAAAGTTGCGACACAACGGCGAAGGCAGTGGCTTCTCCGTTTTTATTTGATGTTCCGATGTTTTTTCTTCGTTCTCTACAATATGGATGGTTTTTAATTTTCGTAGATTTGTGATGTGGAAAGATTTGTGAGTGTGTGTGGAAAGATCTGTGTGTGGTAGGATCTGTGTGTGGTAGGATTTGTGTGTGGTAGGATCTGTGTGGTAGGATCTGTGCGTGGTAGGATTTGTGTGTGGTAGGATCTGTGTGGAAGGATCTGTGTGTGAATCTGTGAGTGGTAGGATCTGTGTGTGGTAGGATCTGTGTATGGTAGGATCTGTGTGGAAGGATCTGTGTGTGTGGAAGGATCTGTGTGTGGTAGGATCTGTGTGGGGTAGGATCTGTGAGTGTGGGGTAGGATCTGTGTGTGGTAGGATGTGTGTGGGGTAGGATCTGTGAGTGGTAGGATCTGTGTGTGGTAGGATCTGTGTGTGGTAGGATCTGTGTGTGGTAGGATCTGAGTGTGTGCGGTAGGATCTGTGAGTGTGTGGTAGGATCTGTGAGTGTGTGGTAGGAGCTGTGTGGGGTAGGATGTGTGTGGTAGGATCTGTGTGTGGTAGGATCTGTGTGTGGTAGGATTTGAGTGTGTGCGGTAGGATCTGTGAGTGTGTGGTAGGATCTGTGTGTGGTAGGATCTGAGTGTGTGCGGTAGGATCTGTGTGTGGTAGGATCTACTTATGAAACAATGTGTAAGTATATGAGAGGATCTGAATATGAGACAATGTGTTAGGAAAAAATCCGAGTGTACTGGAATATTTAGGTATAATTGTAAAACAGAGAAATATAAACACAGAAAATTAAGCTAAACAGACTCATAAAGAAAAATTTAGAGATTATTCCTCATCAGTGCCGGATCAGCCGGGCTGTGGCTCGTACGTAGGACTGCGTGCGGCCAGCAGTAACAGCCTAGTTGATCAGGCCCTGATCCATCGGGAGGCCTGGTCATGGACCGGGCCGCGGGGGCGTTGATCCCCGGAATAACCTCCAGGTAACCTCCAGGTAATCATCACAATCCTCCTCTCCCTTCCTCGAGCATTCCCTGGCCATGATTAGTTAATATAGCATATTATAGCTTAATCCTGCCCACCTTAAAAACCTGAACACAACTGTGGTTACTGAGAATAAATGAACTGCTTTGGTTATCGTGGAATTATTACAGTAATGAATTAGCATTTGCCATTTTATTGCAGCATCCTGTGTGCTGGAATATGACAGGGAAAACATACCTAAATGCTGTTTATGTTATGTAGCTATCATATAGGATAATATAGCCGCATATTGTAGGAATTATCAGTATGTGAGTACCGTACAGACACGCAGTGTTCGGCTACTTTATGTTATTGAGAATGTAACTGCACACTGCTGGTGTTCCCATTATGTAACTATCATACAGAGTAGTAGAGAAGCATATTGTTGTTTTACCCACACTGCCTTTCCTAGGAATAGCTCCGCAGAGCCGAAATGGGAAGTCGGGAGATGGGGTTTGGGGGGAAATGATGGAGAATGGGGGAGGATATTCCCCATATGCAGGACGTGACGTAGATGTCAACACTGATGTGGCATTGTAACTACCTCCCTCCTTCTCCCCCTTCCTTCCCACTATTTCTCATCTCTCGACGTTCCTCTCCTCAGTCAGGGTCTCACGGGGCTACTGCAACAGGTGATTTATGCTGTTTACACTCAAGTATTCATCGGTACATAAATGATATTCACTAATTTTCGTTTAATTTTTATATTTTTTTTCACCAACTATGCAATGAAAAATATCCTTACAAATTCAATTTCTCACCTTTATAACTTTGATGAGTTTCGAGAGTCTTTCTCCTGTCTTTGCCCGGCCGTGGGCCAGGCTCATCTGGCCCGAGACAGGCCATGTTGAAGATTGTCATTTCCAACTAACAGGAAATACCTGACGATATCCTCATTTCCCAAATGAATAATTGATATCCTCTTGTCTAGACTGACAGATTTCATAGCTAGCCATGTAATTATTATATATAACAGGGGTAGCAGCACTGTTAATACATGCAATATTGTTTAATAAAATAATCTTTTCTCCTTCTGCCCCTTCCCACCCAGTAATAAAAAAAGGTAGCAGTGTTGCAGCAGACATCTGAGGGTTGCATCTTGGGCAAAACGTTGAGTTAGACAGCTCAAGTCCCACTGGAAAGCTATATCCAGAGTAGGAAAACTCCAGCACCTGCTGGAAGGAATATCCAGCATTAGCAAACTCCAGCACCTGCTGGAAGGAATATCCAGCATTAGAAAACTCCAGCACCTGCTGGAAGGAATATCCAGCCTTAGCAAACTCCAGCACCTGCTGGAAGGAATATCCAGCATTAGAAAACTCCAGCACCTGCTGAAAGGAATATCCAGAATAAAAAAGAAACTCCAGTTCCTGCTGGAAGGAATATTCTACGTAAGAAAATTCCAGTACCTACTGGAAGGAATATTCAACATAAAAAAAAACTCCAGTTCTATGCAGCATAAATAATTCCAGTTCCTGCTGGAAAGAATATCCAGTATAAGAAAACTACAGTACCTACTGGAAGTATTCGCGTACTGGCTAAAAACATCCATGTAATGTGGTGTATCTAATGATGTTAATTAAGTATATAATGACCCTCCCATCCACCTTTCACCCACATCTCCCTCCTCGCCCACCTTATCCCCCAAATCCTTCCCCCCCACCCTCTCCTCCATCAAATTTCGACACCTCCCTACCTACCTACCTTTACCTCCATTTTTTCCACCAGTAATTAAAAGCAATGAGAGGAGAGAGGAGTTTCTACATTTATATCTCTTACATCGGTTAATAATCCTGGAGATCATCGTCCCAGACACCCGGTGTTGTATCAGGTTTAGTTAATTGGAAACAAAATAATACTGAGAAAAAAACTGTAAAAAACTGTAAATATTTTTTTTTAAGAACTCGGCCGTTTTCCACCGAGGGAGGATGACCCGAAAAAGAAAACACTTTCACCATCATTCACTCCATCACTGTCTTGCCAGAAGTGTGTCGATACTACAGTTCAGACACTGCAGCATATCTCCATCCACATGAGTGCTGAAAATACGTAGAGGTGCCACTCACTGTATTGTTATATACGGGAAAGCGCTAAGCCTGTGAGGGTAATACAGTGCCTGGAGAAGGGGGGTATCTAGGTTTGATTAGAGGAAAGGGAGAGGAACTTCAATTCAATGGATGCAACATCAAGACATCCCCATCTCCACTCCTTGATGGGACCTGCAACCCTGCATGTTGATAGAGAGCTCCTGGGACCAGACTTAACTCTTTAAACTGGTACAGAGTGTTATGTCACCAGCTTCTAGTATTCTGTCACAGCAACTATAAAGTCCATAGGTAAGACATAGTATTATATACTAACAAAAGTGTAAAAATGTGCCTTTTTTATAAATTAATTCCCTGTTTGGAGGCAGCTTCATGCCTGTGCCTTACCTAGGATTGGCTTCAGGAGTTTCACTCTCCGAGACTCCGAGCTCCACTTTGCTGGGTGTCTTGAACTGGTAATGTTTTAATTGTACTTTTAAGTCCTGACACTAGGCCTCGTCCGTGTGTGTGTGTGTGTGTGTGTGTGTGTGTGTGTGTAACATTTTTCAACCCAAACCCAACCCAAACCATACCACGGGCGGGGGGATAGAACCCGCTACCAGAGTCATAAAACTCTAGACCGAGTCATTACGATTTCGTGAGCCATTTCAGAGCCCCGCCTAAAACACAGCGACTAAACTTAATACCAAGTGGCGAGAAGAAACCTTAATTCCAACATCAAATTCTTACACAATGCTTAAATGAAAATATTCTCACCGCATGACTTCAAAATTCAGAGCACTGACCACTGCCCAAACATTACAATCTGTTTTATGAGAGATTAGCCAATTTAACCTTCTTGAAGTGTGCATTGTTCAGGTGACAGTGCTTATACAATCTCCAGGCCCAAGAGCTGTAGCGAAAACATGCTCTGGGTGCAAAATATGGAGCACTATCAAGCTCTGGGCCAAAAGAGCTGGACACAGACACCTTCCCCCCCCCAAAAAAAAAAATGGAGACTAGTTAGAATTCGGTGAAATATTTGGCATCTGTCAGCGTGCGGCCAGAAGTAACAGCCTGTTTGATCAGACCCTGATCCACCATGAGGCCTGGTCTCAGACCGGGACGCTGGGGCGTTGACCCCCGAAACCCTC